TTTTTATGTGTTTGATTTAGTCTAATATACAATATAACCTCGATAAATTCATAACGTCGCTCGATAAATTACTAAAATATTAGTTCAATAACTTAATATTTCATTAAATTAATAGAACTTTGTTAATTTCAATCGTAAAAGTATTTACTTGTAAAGTTTTGACTATATTATATTATGAATTTTTTTTTGAATTGGGAAGTAAGATATTAAATAAATACCAATATTTTTTATATATATATATATTATCCAATCACAAATCACCTATGAATATTTGTATTATTTATTTAATGAAGTGTGGAAAAAGCAGAAGTCGAAATCAAAATGCTATAGGTATATAAATTGAGAGTTTTGTGGAAGCACAATTTTCGAGGAAATAAGTTTGTTTTGATATGTAATAGGTCATCAATATTTGCTCGTTGATATGTACATTTCACATATACTCACATTTAAATAAACACACACCAAATAAATAAATTAAATAAAAACTGTGTCGTTTCAGTAACATGACGATTATGCATGCATCTCCAGATTTTGGATAAATATTTATATATATATAAAGGAAGACGACAAAATAGGAGTGATCAAGATTTGAAGCTGTGTGTTTCTGTTACGGCTGTTCACTTTAAATACCAGCTCTTCCAATTTCCAAACCGTCTGTAATTCTTCTCTTCTTCACCTTTCAGATACATCCAAGTGTGTGTAGTGTGTGCTTTTAATTTCTTGTTTTCACGCCGCCATTGAAGAAGATGGAGGTTTCTTCTTCAAGTAAGAAAGAAATGGAGCAACCCCATGTTGTAGTGATTGATGACTGTAGAGCTACTCGTATGATTATCACTCTACTCTTCAAGAAATTCTCATGCAAAGGTATTACTTATATTTAATTAATTAATTATCTGTATTTATGAATTTTTTTTATTGATCTTGTTAAGTTTCTGGTTTAGAATGAAATAAAATTGGTTGATTCGCGATTTTCCGACAGTGACGAATGCGGAAAGCGGATTCGAGGCTTTGGAGATTCTGGGCTTATCAGATGACAAACAGACCTCTGTAAATGACAATGTAGGTATATTTATATGTGTGTGTGTGTGTGTGTGTGACCATTTTTTTGGAATCTTCGTATTTTTTTGGATTTTAATGTCAGTCGATCGTTGATAATTAAATCACGAAAATCTGAAAAATATTTATCGTAGCTACGTCTTGTTATGGAATGAATCTTGTTTTCCATTTGAAATTGAATGTACGTTCGTGTGCAGAAAATCCCAAAGGTGGACATGATTAGCACAGATTACAACATGCCGGGAATGAACGGATACGAGCTACTAAAAAAAATTAAGGTAATTAATTAATATATTCGAAACAACATTTTTTTTAATTTTCGAAAGTTTTTAACTCCAAAAATTTGTTCGAAGCAAGAATCGTCGACAATGAAGGATGTGCCTGTCGTGATCGTGTCTTCTAACAACGATCCTACTCTAATTAACAAGTAATTAACTATAATTAATATATATTAGCATTTAAATATACATATATTGCTATAATTCGTTTCTAATTATCGAAAAGAAAAAAAATTAGTTGCATAGAAGCAGGAGCTCTGATGTTCATACCGAAGCCTCTGAAGCCGTCCGATGTGGAGAAGTTGATGCCGATGATGAAATGACGTGGTTTGATGAAATGCGACTTTTCGTAGAGTATGGGAAACAATTACTTTCGGTGTCGATTCGATTGTTCGTTATTCTTTAAGACGTACGTTGTTTTCAATGGCCAAAATTCTGTTAGGTTTAGGCTTTATATACATACAGTTGCTGTTTCAGTATAGATTAGCATGTTACTTTCTTTACAAAATAGATACAAAAAAAAAATTCTTTGTAGATGAGTTTAGACAGTATGAACACAGGATTTGAACATGTTTGTGTATAATAATAATAATAATCAGATGATATCAGCAAAAATATTTTGTTCATATGCTGAATTAATGTTGCAATTGCTTTTCCATCTTTGTTTCTTGATATTTATAATTTTTATAATAAATTATGTTTTTCGTATATGCCCGTCTGGGGCTAATGATCTGTTGACTCGAACCATGTATCAGTGATTTATAGTTATAAAGTAAAAAAGAGGAAGTAAATCCAACTCGAGTGACGAGTGTGATGAGTAATGCGTCAAATTGGTTGGCAAACAAGAATTCGATTGTACAATTACAAATAAAATTTGTAGAATTACGTTTCATGTCTAAAGCATAAAATTTGTACGATTTCCGTATCACTTGATGCTTGCCTTTGGGAAAGAAGAAGTGATTGGTCCAGACGAAGTCATAAACGGGATGCCTTTGAATGTTGCAACGCACGCCTCGTCGGTGATAAGATGCTGCACCCACAGAGAACGTAATTTTCAGAACATTGTGTATTTTAATTCCAAAACAAATCGGATAATATGCGAAACTTGTACGAGAAAGATGTGAAGTCGGTGATCAAAGTCTATAACGATGCTGTTTGCCCATTAACCGACACAACCAGTAACGAAGAAATTAATTAAGACAGACATCTCACCAGTTTTGAAGATCGAATTAACATATTTTAATTCATTTAGCAAATATTTTATGAAGTATATAGCAATAAAGTTTACGTACCGGAGTTATCTTATCGAGTTGCTTCTTTTTGGGGTTTAATACCTCTTCTGGCTTGCCGTCATGTCTGGATACCAAAATATTGCAGTTAAACGGTAAGCCGTTTAAATATTAATGATTAAAAAGGGGAGGGGGGGGGGGGGGTAGGGGGTAATTACCCGGCAAATGTGACATATTCCCCAGGTTTAGCACCATCGGGAGCAATTAGAGGCTCGACAGCTGTATGGTCTGTATTTGTAGCACACAAGACCTGTAGTTTAAGCCAAACGGGATTCAAGTTATGGAATTGCAAGTATAATTATACTAAAACCCGTTTCGACAAAAAATTCCAGTGCAAATAATACAAATTCTAGCAATAAACACGAGGCACAAAAATATAAGAAGGCCCTAATATGCCATGAGCACGAAGATAGTGGAGAAATATATATACCAGTCCCTCTGACATCATATCTCGTAACTTGCCAGGTTTTACATTTGTTATCAGTACCACGAGGCGGTTCTGCAAAAAAGGAATGTTGCAGGAGAAAGTATTGAGTAGACTTCGATAATTTTACACATAAAGAAACGGCAGCCTGCATTATATTAAACAATGGTAGAACATAATTTACAGTTTTTGTACCGTTAATTCTTCTGGAGTGCAGTAGTTTGCTAGGCCGCTAACTACTTGCCTGCATTTTGCTTCTCCAACATCTATCTCCTCAACCAACAAACTGCATTAAACCCGAAAAGATTGCAGAGAACAATGCAACTCCATTGTAAGTACTCGTTGCAATTTTTCACACACAGTATGATACTATATTTAGTGTATCTTTAAAATTAAGACTATGTAAAGAGTGAGAAAAGTTCAGAGAAGAGTTAAATGCCCGTCGAAGCCAGATATCATCAATTATAACAGAATTTCATGAGCAAAAGTAAAGGCGTAAAGGGGCTAAAATTAGTTTAGAAAATTTTCAGAAAGAGATCCCATTATGAAGCATAAAAAACAATCTAAACAAGCAAAGTACTCAAGTAACACGATTCTCGAAAAATATTGAGCTGATTCACTATTGATCGAGATGCATGCATAATTTAGTAAATAGACCTGTCTGCTGATGGATGTTTCCGCGCGCTACGAATTCGACCAATCTGAATTTTGAGCAAACTAACACTAAGTTCTTCGTCTTTATTGTCCTTCTCTTTCTCAGCAGGTTTCTTCTTCTCCGTCTTAGCTTGACCTTCTTCAACCTTCTTCTTTTTCTTTTTTTAAGGAATAAAGCAGCATATTTAACGTGTAGTCAAAACAATTTACGATTGTAAAGAAAAGATAGATTAAAAAAAAAATGTCGATGAAAATGCGTTAAGTAAGCAAAAAGGAAATATAGAATAAACACTTACTGCGTCAGCACTTTTCTTTACTTTAGAGTCTGTCTCCGAACTACTAGCCTCTTTCGCCTCTGGTGCGGTTTTCTTTTCATTGGATTTCACCTCTTTCGCCTCTTGTGGGATTTTCTTTACATTGGATTTTGCCTCTTGCACGGGTTTCTTTGCATTGGAATCTTCGACCTTCTTTACGGGTTTTAGTACCTAGGGAAAAATATCAACAATAAATCTATCAAATTCTAACATTATGCTTGCTCTCGGGACATTTAATGACATGGCAATCCAGCAAAGTGCAAATATAATGAGAATTACTAACCGGGGGCGCAAACTGAACTTTCTCTAGCGACAATTTTTCAAATAGCTGCCCCAAGTCCTCCTTGTTCTGCACTCGAAGTCAAAAAACACCCGTAAGTGCATATGCACGTCACTTGTTTGGGAAGATATTGTGGATACATAGAGCATTATAACAGTGCTACTACAGCAGAAAAAGAAAAGAACGAAAATAAATCTAATGCAGAACATGAAACAAACGAGTCCGAGAAATATATTTGATACGTAACAGTGTCTCAGCCTGGCTTTCTATCACCTAATCCAAATCCCATTAGCCAATTAAACCACTTTGTAAAATCGAGCTTTAATTATTCGAGAAAAACAGAACTATTGACTTAATTTTGACAACAAAACGAGCTTATAAAACGGAATAAGAAAACAATTAAATCCATGTCCGCAGAATCTTCTTACATGGATGTAATCAGCCCATCTCAACAAATGCGGCAATTGTGCTCTATCTGAACTTGAAAGACCAATCTGCAGCCGCAAACAAACGAGCCTTCGGTTACAACATTACGCAAAACAAAGATAACTAAACAAATCTCAGTCGAAAATTCACATACCACAGACGAATGCACTGCCGAGAAGACGATAACATCAGCTGCAGATGGTTTCAGTCCATTGCCGATCAGAGTAGACTTGGTACTCAACTCTTCATTCAACTCTTTGAACGATTTCGACCGATCATCGGAATTCTCCAGAAAACTCTCGGTAAACCCTATCCATTTCATCAGCTGCCACCAAAACCTTCATTAATCAGTATCGAAATTATGAATTCAAATTAATTAATTATTAATAAATACATAAATTACGTCATCAGTGTTCAAATTGGCATCCCCATTTTTCGATGACTTCAAAATTCTTGTGCAGAGGCTCTTCAAATCACCGCCCAAATCACTTGCATATGAACTCTGCGTAAATCAGTGGCAGAGCGAGTAATTATCACTAACCTAATCGAAATTTATATATATATATATATATATATATATATATATATATATATATATATATATGTGTGTGTGTGTGTGTGTATATATATATAAGGAAATATGACGCTTACCGGATCTACAGAGAGGTGTTTACAGAGAGCAGAAACAACGTTTTGCTTCAGAGAAGCCATTGCCGGATATTCCAACACTTGAATTTTCCTTTTTTTCCAGCAGAAATTGAAAAAATCACAGGTTTCTAATTTCAGTTCTTCAATTGTACGAAAAGGAAATAGGGTTTTGTGAATTATTAATGGGTTTAGAGAAATTGGGCCACATTGTGAAGCCCATGTGAATAAAAGCCCTGTAATTAATTTTATTTTTCATATTTTAGCATTTAATTTGGGGATTTCTTTATCTCTCTGAATTTGACCGGCTTTATAAAACCACACTCCCTCCGGCCGTGACTGTAAACCCCTCATCCTCGGAGGCAGCTCAGACCACCGCACCGGTGAAAACCCTCATTCGTCGCCACCGTATTCCGCCGTACATCTTCCACCCACGGCGGCGCACTAGGCATTTTAAGCCCCCAAAACTGCTTCACCTTCAAGATTCTCTCATCACTTCGATGTCGAAATAGGATTCAAAATTGCTGTTCGGCCTTCTTCAACTGTGGGCACCATACAAAATGGTGGTGGCAACCGCTCCATTAGTCTGTTCAAAGGTGACGGCTTTTAGCTCTACTCTCTCGCCGAGTAGCTATTTGGTTTCACTCAGACCTTCTAACAAACAGTTTCAGTGCAAACACCTATCTGCGAAAAACTCTCCGAGCAAGAACAATTCGAGGCTAATCAGAACCTTTTCGAACAGCACTCACTCAATTCTCTCCAGTTTTTCACCAATCCCCCCTTCAAATTCAAGAATTACTCTTCCTCTCCGCCCACTCAAATGCTCGTATTCAAATCCCACCATACCAGCAGATGCAAACTCACCGAAACCACTTCTAAAAAGACTCCAAGATTTATCCTTCGAGTCTCTTAAATCCACCCTTCTGCAATTGACCCCAATCGACATTTGCAAGTGGTGTTTGGTTCTCTCCGTTGCAATCGCCGCATCCAAACAGGCTGTCAGTTCACTGTTCAACCCTTTCTTCTGGTTGTACTTCAGCTGGACATGGCTATTCTGGCCATGGATTGTCGCCATTGCCCTCGCAATCTACGGCATTTTCAGCCTCACCAAACACCTCAACGGGGAAGCTAAACTACACGAACAGCTCGCCATAATCACCTCATCTTTCACCTGGCTAACGCTGGTCCCACCCGCACACTTCAACGGCTTTCTTGAAGGATGGCCGTTCGTCTTCTTCTTCATCTACCACTACTTCTTCTTCCTCAACGTGACTGTCCGAAAGAGAATGTACGGCGATTACAACCCCCGCGCGCACGATCCCAAGTGGGATATCAGCTCGCCTGGATGGCACAAGATTCTGTTCTGCGCCGGAATATTCCTCGGCCATTGGCTGGCGGCCTTTGAAGGAACTGAACTTCATCTTGTGCCCGGTGGGTGGGCCAATGTTGGTATATGGGCTTTGATTTTGGTGACGGTGTTCATGCAGTACCACTCCACTTTGTACTTGGCTAAGTATTCGGAGAATGTGGTGGTCCCCACTGCTGTGGTTCAGTTCGGGCCTTACAGATTTGTTCGTCATCCGATTTACGCATCCACTATGCTCCTGTTTGTGACTTACTTCGCTGCGCTCAGAGCACCGTTTAGTTTGCTGTTTATTGTTGGGGTGTGCTCCGCGTATTATGGGCAGAAGGCGAAGATGGAGGAGGCGTTGATGCTCGAGAGTTTCGGGGAGAGGTACAGTGAGTATATGAGCAAGGTTCGTTATAAGTTAATTCCTTTCGTTTATTAGTTTGAAGAAGTTGTCGTTGGATTTTGGAGACGTTGAATTGAAAAAATCGATGGCTGAACAGGGTTTTTAATCTTTACTGTTTAAATTCGGAATACGGAGTTAGTGATCGTTTTAAGCATGTCAAGATGTTACTTTCTTGAATTTTAAGTTTGGTTCAGATTGCTTTTGTAGTTGAGGTAATATTTTCCCCAATATGAAGTTATTGAATATTTTGTCGGTTTCGTCGCAAATCGACACGTTTTTTTTCCTTGCATTTATGTGGTGTGATAGTTGAAACTAAATGGCACAAGAAAATTGGCTCATGCTGTAGGCATATCATATTGTGCAGAGCTTCATTTCGATGACCTGACAAATATTATTGAACAAGTGAAAAGATTCTCACACTCTACAAATTATTAGAAACGGATTACAGTTAATCGAGTAAACTGTACACTTTGTCCTCATGGCTCGTTAAAAGAGAAACAATATTGAGTATTCATCGATGAAACATGACCGAAAACTATCAGGCCGGGACATAAGACTCGAGCAGCAGTTGTGCCGGGGAAGGTGATCTGATCTCAACAATCAAATAAATGTACTTCCATTTCTTATCAACCTTGTCCTTCACCATCTCCGCACTAACCTTTCCAGCTCCGTGGGGCCCACGTATGTAGAAATTAACCTAAGTTTCGAGAAATAAAATCCATCCCCACATATGAATTAATTGAAAGAAAGAAAAAAAAAAGTTCAATTTCGAGAACGTTCAAATTATTTCACTACTACCTGAACATGTTCACTGCCATCTTCGTCTGTCCACGTACGATTGGGAATTCTCTGGCAAGCCGCACGGTTCCTAGTTTCTTGACCATACCCAGTAATAGGCGATCCAATTCTCACTCTAACCTACAAAGAAAAAGAAAAAAGAGGTAAGTTAGAATAATCTAAAAATATGTATTTATATCAAAAGTTTGATCTCAAATAAAATAACTCGAACCTGACTGTCATTTTGAACTCTGTCAAGGGCCTTCCCGAAAATTTTGTACCTACGGTAAAATTGTTGTTAATTTTTATGGAAAAATATGAAATGTTTAGTTCGGCGAGAGTATAATCGTTAGAACATTTAATTTATACTTGTTGAGAAATAAATCCTCCTTACTCTTTTGGTTGGAAGATAAGTTCCTTGAAAACAGCGTAACCTGCTGCTGCAGCAATACCAAGACCGCTCCCTCTGTAAATGTAACTGGCTTCTCAGGTATATTGTACGTTGGAGAATCGAACGGGTCGTCTACTTTAGTAACATCTTTGAGCGTCAGTTTTTAGGGCAAACTTAAGGATAAGTAAGACGATTAACTATCTAGTATTTCCAATCCAAATGGAACTTCATATAATTGGCTAATCGATCATTGCGGAAAATTCAACTTTCTCATTAGCTAATCGAGCAAAATAACTCAACAATACACTTATTGTCTATATACGGACACGATAAAATAGAGTTAACCACACGCCTCAAAAAGTGTTGCGTTGGAAAATGAAACAGTTATCAAAACCGAACCTGAGATGAGCTTTGCTGCACGGAATCGGAGGCCCTTGATGCCAATGACCTGGCATGTGCGGGAATTGTAATCTTAACCCCGTTGATCTCAAAGGCTTGGGAACACGATCGGTAATTCGTGATTACTCCGTTCGCCAAACCTCTAAACGGAATCGGAACACCTGATAAACATCATATGTGCAATCAATATTAACTTTTCCACAACCCTCACAGCACAAAAGCTTAAATAACAACCTATGAACAATTGATCTGATTTGCCTATATATAGAGCATAGTACACAGAGCAAAATCTGAAATGAAAAACTATATATAACTTTTATATTGAAAATTGATACCAACCAGAGGCTCCATTGGAGTTCAATTTGGTGAAATTGGCGGCATGATTAACAAAACTTCTCCCAGTGCCGGACTCAAGTGCCACCTGAAACCTACCGCCGGAGCTTGTTAGCTGCTGGCCAACAGAAATCAAGAGAAGATTGCCCCTGAAAACGTTGCGCAATATACGGAGAAAAAATGCGCTGAGAATACCTACGTACAAGAGTTCTGATTGCTCTAATGGATTTCAAGTATTAAAGTTTTAGTTCAACATTAGCATATCAAGTGGCTGTAGTTTAGTGGTAAGAATTCCACGTTGTGGCCGTGGAGACCTGGGCTCGAATCCCAGCAGCCACAGTTAAATTTAATTTTACTTTCCTATTTTTTTAATAACTATAAGTTATATATTTACTTTAGCATAAGTCAACATCAAGTGGCTGTAGTTTAGTGGTAAGAATTCCACGTTGTGGCCGTGGAGACCTGGGCTCGAATCCCAGCAGCCACAATTTATTCTTTTTTTTGTTTTCATAATTACTTTCAATAAATTTGATTCGATTTTAATGCACACTGTCATTTTTTTTTTTCAAGTATGATAAATTAAACAAATTACTTATACATAATAAAATTAACTTGCAAAACTAATTATTAATTAAATATTATGTCAATAACCTGTTTTATTATTGTAAACTATAAAAAGATTATGGTGTTGTAAAATGACATATTTAATTTACCTCTTTCGTTTGGTGATTGTGGAGTAGTACTGCATAAAACGTAAATAGCAATGATGAACAATAAGAGAGACAGTTCGTACAAAGAAATCAGGAGGGATTATTTCGTAATTTGGGCTTACCTCAGGGGCAGCCGTAATTTGCTAGAGAAAACAAAACAAACAAAAACTGAATAATGAAATCCAGTTACCGAAATTATTCCGACAGGACATGGTTAAAACCTCATTTAACAATGACAAATTGCTCATAAACTATCAAAGAGATTGCATAACACCTAGAAGAATAGATTAGTTTATGCTAATACTAAACGAAATTAAGAATAGATTAGCAACACGGTAAGTTTTCCGTCAATAATAAGAAGTTGCAAGTCGAATATATCGAAGCAGCTGCAGCTCTAACAGCTAAGTCATTCTCCGTGTTATCTACTGCTCCTAATCTGCATTAACAAGTATTATTACGTCACAAAATAATTACGATAATGTACTAAATCAGACGTGAAAAAAAAGTTAAATTAAGTTGATTATCGTAAGATTATTGATATTTATTATTTACCTGCTGTCATTTGCTAATGGAGCTTTCTGCTGCAGTAAACTATTTTTATATAGACCCTTCTCACAATGCAGCTGCATTTCCTTCACTTGGTTCAGCCAACTTTCCTGTATTATCAACCACCAAAAAAAAATCGTAAATTAAAAAACGAAGAAAATACGAGAATACTCTAAATACAACGACTTTCACCATTTGGATCTCTTCTTCAGATAGTGATTTATCCATCTGTGAAAAGAGAGTGCTCCATCTAACAGCGTGTTCATCGGCAGCTGGTTTCTGTGAGTTGGCCGAAAATTCTCTCGATATTAGGAGCGGTAATTCTGTGGTAATAACGGAACGGACCCTTTTCTTGCTCCGTCGTAGTGCTGCAAATACAGAATCAATCTCTCAGTAATATATCTAAAAAATCGATCTTTCAACGGAAGCTTTCATTTTTTTTTTCTTCGAAAAATAGAATGTACCTGCGAGACGACCCTTTATATCCTGATTCAGAAGTTCCAACCATTGGGAAGCTACATTAGCAGCTGAAAATTAAACAAAATACATGTCAATTTTTCGAACCAATGTAACCAAAAAGAAGAAAATAATAACCGAATAACCTTTCAAGGAAAGTGAATCGACGCTGCCAAGATTTCCCGATTCGTCATTCGACAAACAGCTATTATTCTCTGCTCCAACCGAAAGCTTCAGCGCAAGTTTATCATCCTCGTTATTTCCTATGCTGCATTGTAAAGGAGGCATCTTCGAAAAATCAGTATTTGAGTAAACCGATTTCGAAAACAAACCATAATCGCCCGTCTTTCTTCTCCCTAATAACGTCTCCTCACGACTGAGTCCAGACGTATAAATTCCCGAATTACGCAAATCTTGATTGCCTTTCTTGCTTCCGGAAAGTTCTTTTTCGTTTCTTTCGGATCTCACTAATGCTTCTATAATAGAGTGAACCTGTTTACTGTTCCTCACATGATTAATAATCCCGGGATTCAATCCGTTAAGCAAACCACTCGGAGCTGCAACCCTAGCAAATCTATCCATCTGTTCTTTCTTCGCAAGTTCCATTCTTTTCTTCATTACATCATTGTGACTATTTAATTTCTTCCTCCCACGCGGCTTTGGTAGCGAAACGGGCACGCCTCTGTGGTTAGACATGTAGTTGTTTTGTTTCAACCCTTTCCACACTCTCATCGAATCTTTATCTTCCAACGGACCCACTGAACTTCCACACTCGAAATCATCCATCGGGCTTGACTTTTCGTACTTCTTGTAGGGGTAGAAGGGGTCATTGATCGAACTGGAAATATCTTCGGCGTTTAGATCTAAATCAAGGCCTTTGGCCTTTTTAAGACCATCAACAGAACCAACATTAGCGTTAAGATCAATTGGTCTTGAATCGGCGCATATGTATGGATGAGGTGTGTTCGTCTCTCCTCTTTCTGCTTGAGCTACATCACATTGATATTTTTCAGTTTTTAAATCACTTAATGAGATTAGTAATTGAAAAAAAAACATATAAACCATGATTCAATTCGTTTATTTCATCGTCAAGTTAAAACGATAGTCGGAACACTTCCCTAATTTCCACTAAATCGAACATCCGATTTAAAATCCCACAATTTATAATCAAATTCAAATCTAAAAATCTTTCACTTAGATAATTGAAAACTAAACATTGTCAAGATCCAGTCAACACAAAGAAACTTCAGGAGAGAAAAAAAAATAAAAAATATCGGCTAAAAGCTTTACCTTCGGAGCGAAAAACCGATTCGAGGTCGCGCATTTTCACTCTTTTCTGCGAACTGTCGTACGCTTCTTCGACTTCCATGATTCCCCTTTTCTGCCCCCCAAAAAAACATCAATTAAAAATCAAAAATACTATTGATACAAAAAACAAATGTTGCTTCAATAGCTCTTACCTTTGGTTCAGATCTGTGCCCAGTTGAACACTGAATCCGAACACAATTCTCACCATCCATTAATGCGAAATGAAAACTGAAAATTGATTCAGAAGATCTGCAAATTGAATTCGAGATCCTAACAAATTACCGTTTCGGGCAAAAAAATCAACGAATTCAAATTTTAAAAATGACAGCTTTAATCGATTGAAACGACGAAGGATATCGCGAGAAAAATAATGGGCTCGCGGAAAAGGTAACAGAGCAATAAAGATTGAAGATTCTTCGATTAAAGTGTTTGTGAATGGTGGATTTTGAAAATTGAATGTGGGAGAGGGTTAGGGAATTAGGATTTGAATTGCAGAGGGAGCGCGCTTGTGATTATTTTGTGTTCTATTTTCTTTTTTTTAATTAACTATTTGTTGGTACTTTTTGTTTTTTTTTATTCGAAATTCAAATTTAACGTAGAGGGAGGGTTTAGTTGGGGGACCAGGAATACTTTGCCGCGTCAACTATTCACTATTTGCAGTTTCGGTCCTTCAACTCTTTTTTGTATTCAGTTGGAGCCTTTTGAAATTTTTCATTACCTAGTACCTACGAATTGCTTTGGTGGGGACCAATCATTGATGTCACCAAGATATGATTTTCTAATTTTATAAATTTAATTTAATGAATTGATTGTGCGAATTAGAATTGTGATATAAAGGAAAATTTAACTTGGATTATGATGTAGCCCAAATGGCTCAATCAAATATAAAGTGGTACAATGGGTCTGGTGTGAAGGAAGCCCATTTAAGTAGAAAAGCTCATGTGTTCTCGAGAGACGTGCAAAATAGAGGATGGGGAATGGTTTTCTCGTGTTAGCAATTTCGCAGTCAAGTTAGTCGGATTCGTGCGGGAACAATATATATATATGTAGTGAAATAAGTGTTTATTAAGAATACCAGAGAAAATCATTTTCCTTGTACCTCTAGACTATATTTATACATGTCGTTCATATGGGACGGTGGGTTCCCTTATATTTATGGTTAGATCGCACATGTGGGTGTTGTGATCAATGCGGGTTGTACTCGTCTGAAGGCAAACATTCTTGTTCCTTGCGGTTTGGATCAACAGGGCGAGTCCATTGATGTGGTAGCTTATGGTGGCGGGCTCCTTCTCGATTAATGTCGGCCTTTCTCCACGTGAGGCTAGTGACTAACTCTATGGAGTGAATTGTTCAAGTATTAGATTATATTCTATTGTAAAATATAACCAACGTTGTTAAAGTGAATTGTTCAAGTATTATATTATATTTTATGGTAGACTACGGCCATCTCTAGAGGTATGGGTCAAATTACGAGAAAAAAACCCTCATGTTTTGGATAATTACAAGTTACAATCATCTTTTCAACTATGAATCTTCGTACACATTTATTGCGGTGTCAAAATTTAGTGAAATCTTCTAAATTATGTGGAATATTCTCGAATTCGTACTCGTTTTACTCCATTCGAGCTCCACATTTTGAAACAAGATGATCATAGATGTGTACATATGTTCGCTTGCAAATATCAGATTGTGGTGCATCATAAACTGCATTTTTGCTCAAAACGAGTACAAATAAGAGAACATTCCACAATATATAAAAAGATTATATTCAATTTGATAACATGAGAATGTAAAAAGATTCATAGTTAAGAAAAGTTGTTGTAATAATTGAAATAAGATGGATTTTTCCGTAATTTGACTTTATGGAGTTTCCCTAATGTAATGGTACCCTATATTTTACTGATATAGATTATTGACTATTGACAACAAACTTTAAACGAGTTGTTAGGAGATAAGCTGCGAAAAGAATGTGGACCAACTTCATCTGATCATGTGCAGACATAAAAATCAGTCACAGTTAAGAAAGCTCCATCACCTTCCCTTTCTGCATTTTGAATTTAAGGATCGATTCAATTTAAAATTCGTATATACAGAAAAAAGTATTATTATTATAATATAATAGAATGAATTATGAAGTATTTGACTGTGAAACTTTTTGAGGGTCAAAATCGACAGCTGAATGAATTCCATCTTCAAAACAAGGATAAAGTCGTTGAGTTGACCAAACCCATCTTTTAATTCAATTACGAAACACGTTTCCGACTACCATGGAATAATCTAATAAAACTCACTTGTATCATTAAAGCTGAAGATCCCATAAAAAATATGCCTAATAGATGAGGAGCCATGATAATAAATATTTGCGATAAGTTATTAGAATACGAAACAGGTCTCAAAAATAGTAGTTTAATTTTAGGGTAAATTACAACTACATCTGAGGTATGGTTGTCTTCTTTGGATAATTACATCTATTCTTCTACTATATTTTTTTCTCACACCTCCACCATTGGTGTCAAATTCAACATAATCACCTTGATTTCGTGGAATATGCTCTAGTTTGTATTCGTTTTGTGTAAAAATACATTTTCTGATGCACCGCAATCTGATGTAAACAAGCCAAAAACACATATTATGATCATCTTGCTTCAAAATGTGGAGTTCGAATGTCATAAAATCGGTACAAAAGTGATAGTATTCCATATAATCTCAAAGATTCCACTAAATTTGAAACCGCAAGTGCGGACGTGTAAGAAAATTTTTAATTGAGGATGATTGTAATTACCCAAACACAAGAGTTTTTTCGTAATTTGACCGTACCCTACTTTACCCTTAATTTTAACATAGCAGTAGAGATCAAAACTGCAGCAGAACCAGATTGAACAAAATACTTGGAGCAGGTGATAGCATCAAATCAATTAAAAACCCATTGTTTAATATTTCTCTTCACATGTAATTACAAATTTTAGCCCCAGAAGGCAAGAGATTTACAGAACAATCTTTAATTCACTGCAACAACCAAGAATCTCTGAATTGTTCTAAAGCAGTATCCCTAAAATTATTAACCCTCATCAAGCAGAAATGTGTGCAGAAACCCAAACCCATCCCACCACAAACTTTGCTCGTCTTCAGCAAATAGCAAGCGGGCCCACATTCAGATTCCTTCCCCTGCACAACTATTCCCCAAGCCCTAGTCACACCTTCCCCAGATTCTTCATCCACATTCTCCTGCCCTAATTCCTCCACAAAAATCAGCCCATCTGGCGATTTCGATTCCCCGCTTCTCCACTCGTTTCTCACGTGCGGCCATTTGTCCTCAATCGCCTTTTCCGTTTGGATCGTCACGACGTCGTTTTGCGAGTATATTTGGACCAGTAAAGGTGCTTGCTTTAGGTTTTTTACAATGTCGGTCACGGAGTCCTGCACCCATGAATCGATCTTCTGCGACGAGGCACCGTCTTTTTTTAGGGTTTCCGAATCGGCGGCCATGGATAATTCGTCTGGGTGAGGTGAGAGAACGGCTGAATTTGATGAATTGATCGGTGTTGATAGAAGCCGTTTAGGGATTTTGTTGGTGTTTTTGGAGATGGGTAGAAATTGATTGGGGGAAAAAATAATCTGATTGGAATTGTGTGTTGAAGAAGGGAAAGAGGGGTGTAATAATTTAGCTACTGAATGAATCCCAATGGACGCCATCTCCAGAAAAAAAAATTAAAGATGGCGATTTGGGAGAAGATGCAGAACAATTACGCTGTAATTGTTCTGATTTTTTTAGGGTTCTTGCTGGAAAAGGGAAATTGGGGAATTGGTAGAGAGAGAATCGGAGAAGAAAGGATGGCCGCGTAAAGGAGAGAGAGAGAGAGAAGAGAGAGATTCAGAGGATTATGAACCTCAAAAAGAAGACTGTGTTGTGTACGACAAGACTTCTTTGTCATTGGTCCTATTTATTAAGAAATTATTTTCCGAAAAAATAAAATATTAGTTCAGTTTAGATAAAATATTCAAGATAATATTATTATATTAGTTTTATTTATTTACAAGAATAAGATTATATTTGGTGAGGTTATATTTTAATGAACCTTTAACTTGATTTAAAATTAAAAAAATAAAAAATGATGGGATTTGGAATATTTGTTTAATATTTAATTTATTTTTGATGAATTTAATTAGAAACACATGCGCAAAATGGGACCCACTGGGGCTTACATACACACGTTGTGCACAAGCCCACAACGCTAGCCATTAATCATCAGCACACGACACGCACGCACAAACCATCTTTTCACACGCGCGCACAAACAACTAACACACCGTCACGCACGCACAACACACACCGGCCTGCCTATACACGTGCATGAAATTATCTTACGCAAATTACACACATTGCACCAAATTACGGTTTCACTTTGTCATGAGAAAAACGTTTAAAAAAAAAAAAGAATACAAATTTAATTTTTTTTTAAGGAAAATCAATTGGGTTTGGTCCATATTTAACAATATCATATCAAAGTGTAGTTTGTGTTATTTCATGGGTTCCAAGAGGGTTTTCAGAGCCATGGTCCAGACTTAACCATGTAGTAAAAATTGTCGGAGGTCTTCGGTGCGAATAAATATGGTGAGATCGCGGGCGCAAATGGCAGGCGGCTCGAAGAGCTCCAAATGAGAGGCTCGGTGTTCATTGATTCGAGGCTCGGTCGAGTGACTCGATTGTTGGATGTGAAATTTCCACATTGCAACTGCTAGTGCTCGATCCTAAGACCTTTTCACCAACTTACCATCCTTAAATTAATTGAGTTACTCGTGTGGGCTTTTATTGCACATACATGATATTATTGAATGGGATGTAAACCTGTTAGATATTGGACTATCCAATTCAATCAAGAGTCCATTTAAAAGGAAAATCAATTGGGCCCCCAATAACAATATCCATTGCACGTGACTGATAACTCGGCCCAAGAAGTTTTCCTCATTCAATTTTACACCTACACCCTCTAAGGTTTGGTGTAATTGTGCCTAGACCCCGTTAGTTTGAATATTCAACCCTATCTCATCTCCACTGGTAATTTCCAAGATATATTGGGTTATGGGATTTTTTTTTTTATTTTTTTTTCTTTTTGAGAGTTATGGAAATTCTAGGGTAATACTATTGTTTATTGAAGCCATTACAAGGGTGGTCCAATGTTGAAGGATGCTCCTTGACTTGTCTCAATCAAACCATATTCCTAGTTATTTTTGCTACAAGTTCTTTGCCAAAATTTGGCTCAATATTGATTATTAAATAAAGCATTAGGTAAAAAGTGTGGAGATTCCATTGTATGAGCACATTATTTTGATTCCGTGTGTTCCAAACATGTTATGCCTTTTATTCTTATTATTCATTCTATGTGCTTTTCAATTCAATTTTATTTATGTCACACTCATCTAATCAAATAATTATTTATCATTCATAATTATATATTTTATGTGTGATTGAATAATTATGATAGATCTAATATACCTCAATAATTCAATGTAGCATGAAATAACCATCTACAAGATACATTGAGATGCCTAGTTAGGTCAGTCCAATGTGCCTACAACTTATTTATTTATTGGGTCACGAGCCCGATTGAGAAGACCACTACTACAAAAATTCAACTACCTTCAAATAAGGTTTGGGCTCGACTAATTAACCTCAGCCCAATTGACAAGGTACAAATATCGATTTAAATCATTTGTTAAAGGTACGTTCTAATCATTCAAGCAAGACAATATTTAATATTCTCTCTATTATTTTCACGATCCGTACGTCTGACGTGAGTGTCGGAGGGGTTTCCACCAGATCACCCCCGACTTAGTTTACGTGTATTCAATTCGCAGGAACATCAAGATTATTAAGGTGTCTCAGGACCATCTAGCTCGAGTGTCAGTGATCCAATTTGCTCTCCCAATTCCTTCTACTCCACTACCCAATATGATCTAATGTTAAACATCATCATGTCTAATAATTAAGATATGAATCGTGTGCCACTAATTGTAGTTGCAATCATTAAAAGTAGTGAAAAATGGCAAAGTTGAAGTTTATCACAACTTAAAACTACTTGATGTGTGTTTAAATTATGGTAAATTGCTTGTCACCCCATATAAATTCATAGTTTTTGCACTGTCCCCCTCAAAGAAAAAAAAAATGTCCCCTGCAAAATTTTATCCTTCGCTTGCAAAATTTCAATGGATTATTCACGTGAACGGAGCGTTTTTATTGCACGTTGTCCCTTCAAATATATTATTTTTCTGCATATTGCCCCTTTAAAATGTTATTTTTAGTGCACTATGCCCATCTAAAATTAACTTTTATGCCAAGTGCAATCAAAATAATATTTACGGGGTGATTTGGTCCGTAGGTCTTCGTCTTCCTCAAGCCAGCTCCGTCCGTACTCCGGGTGAATAAACCTGCAACGCCGGGAGGGGTTCCCGGCGGGAAAGCTCCGACGATCAAGTCAGTGATCGGAATAGAAGAAAAAGTGTATATGCAATATAATAGTGATTGGTGTAAAAATCTCGTCCCTCTGTGTGTGTGTTGATTCTCTTATTTATAGATGAGGAAAGCTTGGCCTCCAAGGCTTTCCTTTTTTAGGGTTTCTCTTTTCCCCCAAGTCATGTATCTTGGGCCTGTATTGTCCTGGGCTCGCCTTACCTCATTTCGGTATTGGGCTAGCGAGTTAAAGTACTCCCACGTAGTTCCGAGGTTCGCGCCATACGACGACTTCGCTCATGGTACCGAGCTAAGACATCATGGGTTCTTCATTATGGGCCTATCATATTGGGCTTACCCTAATGGGCTTATGTTTATTTGTTATTTGTCAAACTAGCCCATATCAACTACTCCCCCCTACTCCTTATTTATAAAACAAGTCGGTTTTTTCTTTACCTCGTTTTATAAGTACGGAGTATTAGTTCGCACTTCGATTTAGATTTACGTCGGCGTACACAACCCCTCGTCCTTTCCCTTTCATTAATTGCTCTGACACCCCGCGTGGTTGGTTCAAGTTCCCTAGGTCATCATGAGAAGATTTCCATCAACGTTTTTCGCGCTAGGTTCGAGGTAATCTGCATTAAATCTTGTCCGTTCGGGTGGGCGGTTATGATTGATTTTTTCTCTTTCCTAGGTCATTACTAGGGGAGTCCAATCGACACTTCTTGCGCCGAATTCGAGGCGACCTACTTTGAATCTCGCCCGTCCGAATAAACGGTTGTGATCAGAGTTTCCACTTTTCCTCCTCCTATAAGTATCTGACTTCCACGAATTTTCAGAATTTTTTCCTCTTCTTCATCTCTACGCTTTCCCTATCCTTGTTTACCTCCGGCGACTTTGCTTCTCGAGAACCAAGTTCTTTTCTATCCGTGCTTGTTTTCTTCTTCGACAAAGGTACTACTTCTTTCCCCCCATCTTTTATTACCCCCGCCTTTACTCTTCGAATTGATAATGTCTGCCCGTTCTCCTGATCCTTTCGGCCAAAAAATGCCCTCCGGGGAGGGGGGTGAAAACCCCGCCTTTTCTATTTCTTCTTCGTCGGAGGAAGGACCCTACTTCTCCCCCTCGGGCAAGCTCTTAGAACGGCCCAAGAAAAGGGGCAGAAAAGAGGTTTCGTCTTCTGCGAGGAGTGGTTCTCCTTCCTTATCTGAAGGACGAGATCCGGATGACCAGTGGGGACCTAGTACCTTAAGCGAAGTAGATCTAGCTAACTTAGTTCGTGACATAGGCCTCCCTACCGATGTCGAGTTAATTCTGCCCTCGCGAGATGATCGCCCTCTAAACCCTCCTTTAGGCTTTAGTACCTGGTTTTCCGAGCAGTTCTACTTTGGTCTTTCTTTCCCTATCTCGCCTTGGTTCTCTGAAATCGCCCAACTATGTAATGTATCCCTCAACCAATTCCATCCTCACGCTATAATCATCATGACCGGATTTCGCATGTTGTGCGCCTGGTCGGGGGTGATTCCTACACCAGCTCGCTTTCGAAGCATCATGGTTTTAAAGAATTCGAGTCCCTTTCATATCTCCATCTCGGCCCGTCCGGGTTTCAAAATACTGATGCCACCTAACAAAACCGATGGGTGGCAAGGTCACTATTTCTTTGCCAGGAACCCTGTTGACACCCCCTATTTGTGTCCTTGGCTCGCCACCCTGCCCGAGAAGAAAAGGGGGAAACCTTTGGCGATTGACGAATGTTTATTAAAAATGATAACCCACTTTCAACCGAGCTACGGCGTCCCGGATAGCCTCACTAGCTTTCCGCCGATGCTTCGCCACTTCTATTTTCACGACAACGGCACGTACTCCCTAACCCGGGAAGATTTAGGTGGGTTTGGTTGCGATACATGTCTTTTATCCCGGTTTATTGTGTTATCTCGGATACGTATTTCCGTCGTCTTATTAGTTCCTTGTCTATTTGTTCTGCGCCTCATTTACTTATCCTATTTTCCCAATTTTGTGGACAGATTTAAGGATGAAGATGATGTTCCGAGGCGACAAACCGGCTACTCGTCCCTCCGAGCCGGAGCCTGGATTCGACGCATTCGAGTTCCAGCGCCCTCTGGTCGCTGAACCTGAAAAGCACTCCTCGGAGGAGGGATCTTTAAGACCCAGGCCTCCCAAGAAAAACGCCGCACCTCCTCGCGCCCGAGGTGGACCACGGACTGAGGATTCTGAGCCTCCCCGGCGGTCTTCCGCCATAGTTCTGGCCTCGTCGCCACCTCCTCCTCCAACCGAAGAAACGGTGGAAAAAGAAACTGCTCCGAAGAAGCGGAGAACTGACCTGGCCCTTGGGGCGGCTGGATCGTCTTTGCCTGCCGGTTTTGGGCTTCATCTTTGCCAAAACGCGGAGAATGCCATTGCCGCATGTCGGTCTTTGGCCTTTCCCACCGACATTGCCCATTTCGGGCAGATGAGTAAAGGCGACCGTCTCGAGCTACTTCTTCACAACATTACGCAGGTTTGTCTGATTTCGGATTATTCGAACCAATTCCTTAGCTTCATATTTTTATCCAAGGCTAACCTTGTTTGAACTCTTTGTACATGTAGCAATTCGCCATCGCTTTCTCGGGTCCTTTGGGATGGGATGATGTCTCGCGTGAGGCATACGATAACCAAAAGAAGGAGGTGACTCAACTTCGAAAGGAAGTTCGAGGCCTGAAGGAGAGTTTGGCGATGTCGGAATCGTCGAAGGAAGGGCTGTTCTCCGAGGTGAAGAGGCTGCAGGAGAGGGAGAAGATCTTACAGGCGGAGAAAGACTCCCTGGGTTCTCACGTCGCCAGCCTAGAAGAAAAAGCCAAAGGACTTTCCAACGAGCTGTATGCAGCCGGGGTACAGGCCTCTACTAATTTTGCCGAGGGGGTGAAAGAAGGACAGAGATTGTTCCCGGGGTCGCCCGAGGGTCTCCGTTTTATCGAGGAGTTCGTTCGTCGTTTCTTTCACCGGTTATGGCGTTCGACTACTTTCACCCGAGAAGCTTCGGGGTTGGCTCGTTTCTTCTTCTCCTCGGCGGTTGCAGCCGTTCGAAAGAGGTTATGTGGTGCCAGCATCGAGTTCCCGTTGGTGGAAAGTGAACTGGCCGAAGACCTTCCCGATGACGTGATCCCGGGTTTTGAGGGGGACGTTAATGAGGACCCTAACTTGGAATGGTGGAGGCCGGTTTACCAGGGCCTCGTTGAAGAGTTTACCCGTCAAGGAGCCATTACGGACTTTGTCGGGGACATTGGGGCCCTTGGAACGGTGGTTAGTTCCGAAGAGGCACAGCCAAGCCTCGTTCCGCCGCCCCCTCCGGATGCTGAGAATCGAAGTGAAGCGGGTGCAGCAGTTCCGAAGTGAAGACCATAAAAAGACTTAACCATTTTTTATGTTTTGTATTTTGAATATGTATTTCTTTAAACATTACGTCTTTTATTTCCTTTTGCCCTGTATCCTTAACAATTTCTCCGTTTTTCCTATATGCTTGAAATGTCTCTATTCGCTTTTATGTCTGTGTTATTCTGGACTTCAGACTTAGTCTGTCGATATCCCCACTGATCTTCAGTGGCGTTTATTCCTTAAGCTTATCCATCAGTTCAATCTTGTACCACTCCTATATTTTAACTTAGCACCCACTCATAATATTTTGCTTATGAATACGCGAGTTAACGCTACAATGAGACACGCGAGTTAACGTCACAGTGAAACACGCGAGTTAACGCCACAGTGAAACACGCGATTTAACGCCACAATGAACACGCGATTTAACGCCACAATGAAACACGCGAGTTAACGCCACAGAAAACACGCGAGTTAACGCCACAAAGAAACACGCGAGTTAACGCCACAGTGAAACACGCGAGTTAACGCCACAGTGAAACACGCGATTTAACGCCACAGTGAAACACGCGAGTTAACGCCACAGTGAAACACGCGAGTTAACGCCACAGTGAAACACGCGAGTTAACGCCACAGAAACACGCGAGTTAACGCCACAATGAAACACGCGATTTAACGCCACAATGAAACACGCGAGTTAACGCCACAGTGAAACACGCGAGTTAACGCCACAATGAAACACGCGATTTAACGCCACAATGAAACACGCGAGTTAACGCCACAATGAAACACGCGATTTAACGCCACAATGAAACACGCGAGTTAACGCCACAGTGAAACACGCGATTCAACGCCACAATGAAATACGCGATTTAACGCCACAATAAAATACGCGAGTTAACGCCACAGTTATAGCTTAAGTAAATAACACAAGTACTTTTTTAACGTGGAAACCCTCCAGATAAGGAGAGAAAAAACCACGGGGCCTAGCCCAGATCGGAAAATGGATGTTTATTAATGGTTTTCTGTGCGTACAAGGTGTGTCTCAATCTTATTGACTACCTGCCTTACCCCCTTTTTTTTTTTTTTTTTTTTTTTTTTTTTTTTATGCGAAGAAGCGTTTCAGATGTATTATGTTCCAAGCCCGAGGTAACGGTTTCCCGTTGATGTCTGCCAACTCATACCCTCCGCCGGCCAAACACCTGGTGACTGTGTATGGTCCTTCCCAATTAGCCTCCAACTTTCCCGTGTGTTTTAGCGCGTCAGCTCGTCGCAAGACGAGGTCTCCGATCTGGAATGAGCGGGACCGCACCCCTTGATCGTATCGAGCCTTGATTAGGTTCTTACTTCGTTCCATGTGCAGATACGCCGCTTCTCGTAGGTCAAAAACCTCATTCAGCTGTGTCCTCAGGGCATCATCGTTTGTCCTTTCATCAAATGTGGCGATGCGGAGTGTGTCCATTGCCACCTCGACCGGAATAACAGCATCGGTCCCGTAGGTTAACCGAAATGGCGTCTCGCCAGTAGCTGCTTTGACTGTTGTCCGGTAAGACCAAAGGACTGAGGGCAGTTCGTCTACCCAACTTCCCCCTAACTCGTCCAATCTCTTTTTCAAACCGTTGACAATGGTCCGGTTTGTGGACTCCACTTGACCATTAGCCTGGGGGTGTGCTACCGCCACGAATTTCTGTGTTATCTTCATTTCTTCGCACCACGCACGAATTTTCTTGCCGTTGAACTGAGTGCCATTGTCCGATACGATGCTTCTAGGTAGACCAAACCGACAACAGATGTTCTTCCAGACGAAGTGCATGACCTCGTCCTCTGATATTTTTGATAAGGCCTCAGCTTCGACCCATTTAGTGAAGTAGTCTACCGCAACAATGATGAACTTTTTCCGGCCAGTGGTTTGAGGGAATGGTCCCACTAGGTCAATCCCCCATTGAGCAAAAGGACATGGAGCACTCATGATGATCATCTCCTCCCCCGGTTTATGGATAAGTGGGGCATATTTTTGGCATTGTGCGCAGTGTTGAACGTATCGGTGTGCGTCTTTTTTCATACCGGGCCAATAATATCCTGCCCGATATAACTTCTGTATGAGGGCCCGAGCTCCTCCATGCTCACCACAACCACCTCGATGTACTTCATCCAGAACATGCTTTATCTCCTGCTTTCCCAGACACCTTGCATCTACTGTGGTGAAGTTCCTTTTATATAATGTCCCATGCCGTACGTAAAAGTGTCTTGCCTTATATGCCAAGCGGTGCTGCTCTCTTTTGGTGCCAGCTCGCTCTCCTTTGAAGTATTTGAACAAAGGCGTTCTCCAATCAGGCTCTTCGTCTATTACCATTATGCCCGGTGTTGGGGTAGGGGCGATGAGGATAGTGATCTTTCTTTCAATACAATCGACGACTGACGACCCGACTTTAGCGAGGAAGTCAGCTCGCTGGTTGTCATTCCTCGGAATTTGATGCATGGTACAGACTTCGAAAGCTTCTTGCACAGCTCGGGCTTTATTTACATAACTCTTCATTCTATCGTTTTTTATTTCGTAGTCACCTTCGAGTTGGTGTATTACCAATTGAGAGTCGGAGTATATTCGCACCACTCGCGCTCCGAGCTCTTGAGCGATCTCCATACCTCGGATAAAGGCTTCATACTCTGCTTCATTATTGGAAACTCGGGGTAACCTAACGGCAAACTCGACTTCCGCTCCAGTGGGATCAATAACTATTATCCCTGCCCCTGCTCCTGTGGTTGTAGATGAACCATCCACATAAATTTTCCACTCCTTTTCGATGGGTATCCTGGTGGTTTCTCGGATGAAATCTGCCAGCGCCTGTCCTTTGACCGAGGTACGGGGTTGGTACTGAATCTCATACTGTCCTAACTCGATGGCCCATTTAACAATTCGTCCTGACGCGGTAGGTTGACCTAGGGTCTGCCGGAGGGGTAAGCTTGTGCGAATTACCATGGTATGCGACAGGAAATAAGGCCGGAGTCGTCGCGTAGTGAGAACCAATGCGTACGCTATTTTCTCGACTTCAGAATATCGGCTTTCCGACGTAGTGAGGATCTTACTAGTATAGTAGATCGGTCTTTGCTGATTATTAACTTCCTTAAACAAAACCGAACTGATGGACTCATCGCCTACTGACAAGTATACGAACAGGGTTTCACCCTTTTCAGGGGTGCTAAGAATCGGCAGGCAAGTAAGGGATCGTTTTAATGCTTCGAATGCGAGCTGGCATTCGGTGGTCCATTCGAACTGAGCTGTTTTCCTTAGTACTTTGAAGAAAGGCAGGCTCTTATCAGCCATTCGCGATATAAACCGAGCTAGGGCTACAACTTTTCCTGCCAAGGACTGGACTTCCTTAATAGAACGAGGAGGTGTCATCTGAAGTACGGCCTCAACTTTATCTTGGTTTACCTTAATGCCTTCCCGATTAACAACGTATCCCAGGAACTTTCCCGCTTGTACCGCGAACGCACATTTAGCAGGGTTTAACTTCATTCCATATAAACGAAGAGTTGCAAAGGTTTCGGCTAGGTCTGCGAGATGCGTAGAGCGCTTCTTGCTTTTAACTAACATATCGTCAACATAAACTTCAATGTTGCGTCCGAGTTGGGCCCGAAACATCCTATCCATTAATCGCTGATACGTGGCTCCTGCATTTTTTAGGCCGAAAGGCATCACCACGTAACAGTAAGTCCCCGTGGCGGTGACAAAACTTACTGCTGGCTGGTCCTTTTTGTCTAGCGGAATTTGGTGGTATCCCTGCGAGGCATCCATCATACTAAGTAGTTCGCATCCAGCGGTGGCATCTACAAGCTGATCTATGCGAGGTAAGGGATAATCGTCTTTCGGGCAAGCCTTATTTAAGTCTCGGAAATCGATACACATTCGCCATTGGCCATTGGCTTTTTGCACTAACACCGCATTGGACAGCCACGTAGGGAACTGAATTTCCCGGATGTGTCCGATTTCCAGAAGTCGCTGCACTTCCTTCTGTATGATTTCGTCCTTTTCGGTACCGAAGTGCCGTCGTTTCTGTTTGATAGGTTTACACTCAGGCCGTAAATTGAGCCTGTGCACAACAGTACGAGGTGAGATACCAGTTAGGTCACTTGGTTGCCAGGCGAAGACGTCTTCATTAGATCGTAGTAACGCTATTAGCTCGTCTCGGAGAGATGGTTCTAGATCCTTGCTTATCCGGGTTTGTTTCATCATCCCGGGGACGAGATCAATCATCATCAATTCGTCCATAGGTTGTACGTGATTAGTCTTATCCTCGGGGTCAACTCGGGGACGCTTCTCGTCTCCCAAATCTTCTTTGGTGAGGGTATCGCGTCGGCCTTTCTCTGCTATCTTAACCATTTCGACATAACACGATCTCGATTGAGTCTGGTCGCCCTTGACCTCTCCCGCCATCCCATCAACTGGGAACTTAAGCTTTTGATGAATGGTCGAAGGGACCGCCCGAAAGGTATGTAACATTGGTCGTCCTATCACGATGTTGTACGAGGTCGGCGATCCTTCAATGATGACAAAATTGACAGTTTGAGTGCGCGTTCGAGGTGGAGTTCCTATAGTGACAGGGATTTTAACTTGTCCGATCGGCGTCAGGGACCCTCCTGTGAACCCAAATATCGGTGTGGTGACGGGGAAAACCGGGAGATCAAGCTCCATTTGTAGGAAGCACTCGTAAGATATGACGTCCACCGAACTTCCAGGATCAACGAAGGCGCGAGCGACGTCGTACCCTCCAACGTTAATCGTGATGAGGAGAGGGTCACAATGGAAGTCGTCTAGGTCCGCTTCATCTTCAGGACCGAACGAGATAGTGGGGTATTGACGATACTTCGGTGTAGAGATTTGGCAAACTTCATGATTATTTTTTAGGCTACCGAGATGACGCCTCCTAGCTCGGTGAGTATCTCCTCCCGTAGGACCCCCTGAAATCATCTGAATGTATCCTCTTTTCGGCGCTGGCGGTGGGGGCGGTGCTCGTGGCGGGTTCCCGGACTGGGCTTCACGCTTTTGTCCCCGAGGTGAATCTATCTTCACAAAATCCCCGATCTTGTTATCTCTAATGAGACGTTCCACTTCGTCTTTCAAATGTGCGCAATCGTCGGTCGTATGTCCATACTCATTATGGAAACGACAAAAGGTTCCCAGCGCGGGGTCTCGACGGGGGGCTCCGCGAGCGGTTCGAGGCCACCGAAGATCAGCTCTCTTCTCGATTGAGTATAGCACCTAGGATAGAGGAGCTGTAAGGGGCTGGTATGATTGGAACCGAGATCCCTTAGCATCCGGGACAACACTCCGACTAGGAATATTGGCATCCCTGCGAGGTAACATGGGCTCCTTGCCTCTCTTTACTTCGCTGACCCGTACGTTTGTGGCTTGGTGAGATTCTTCCACTTTCTGTTGGCGGGCTTCTTCTAAGTTAATGAACCTAGATGCTCTTTCTAATAAGTTGTCGAAATCAGGTGATGGCTCCAGCGCTAGAGCTCGGAAAAATTCATCATCTCTTAACCCTTGTGAAAGGGCCGCCATGAGCACCTCGTCACTGGTAGTCGGGACTTCCAGGGTAGCCGAGGTAAACCGTTTGATGTAACTCCTGAGGCTTTCCTTTTCTTTCTGGCGGATGCTAAACAACGACAGGGAGGTTTTTTTGCACTTTTTCGAACTGGCGAACTGGTTCATGAAGGCCTTGGCAAATTGTTCGAAAGATTGCACGCTCCCGGCAGGTAACAAACCGAACCAGGCCTGAGCAGATCCGGCTAGGGTGGTGGCGAAGGCACGACATCTCACCCCTTCCGTGAGCTGATGAAGTGATGCCGTATTGTTGAAACGGCTTAGGTGTTCGGCGGGATCCGATGTACCATTGTACTCGAACGAGATGGGTCGGTAGCTAGCGGGTATGGGGTCATCATCGAGGTGTTTTGCGAAAGGGCTAGATCCCACGAGATCTCGCATTGACCTGTTCCGTAGGGCCTTTAATTCGTTCATATCGCGTCTCAGGCTGTCTACTTCGGTCCTGACTCCATGACTGTCGCCTCTTCGATTTTCCGAATAACTGTCACCTTCGTCATCAGTCCGCCCCTCGTTTGGAGAGCGTCTCAGGTCCCTTTTGGGTCGGTTATCCTGAGGTAGGGATTGGGCGTAATTTCGGATGGCTGTAGTGATCATGGCTTCTACTTCATCTCGGGTGTACGTGCGCTCATCAGGGGGCGGAGCCGGTGCTGCAGCCGGTCTTTTCGAAGCAGTTCCAGCGCTCTGAAATTCAAAAGAAGGGCTTCCCGAAAAGAGAGGGATCCGTCTCTCTTTATCGGGCGTGAGCAGGCTGCACCCAGACTTCTCTCTCGAGGCAAGCGGCGGGTCAGCGCCAGGTGTATCATGAGCTGCTGCCTCCAGTTCCTTCTGTAGGTTTCGGGTAACCGTGTCTTCTCCTTGCATTTTTCTCCACGTTCTTAGCTCAGATCTGGACTTCCGGGGGTAGATCTGATTTTTCCCGGAAGCTGTTTTCCCAAAACTTCAAGATTTTCCCACAGACGGCGCCACTTGATTTGGTCCGTAGGTCTTCGTCTTCCTCAAGCCAGCTCCGTCCGTACTCCGGGTGAATAAACCTGCAACGCCGGGAGGGGTTCCCGGCGGGAAAGCTCCGACGATCAAGTCAGTGATCGGAATAGAAGAAAAAGTGTATATGCAATATAATAGTGATTGGTGTAAAAATCTCGTCCCTCTGTGTGTGTGTTGATTCTCTTATTTATAGATGAGGAAAGCTTGGCCTCCAAGGCTTTCCTTTTTTAGGGTTTCTCTTTTCCCCCAAGTCATGTATCTTGGGCATGTATTGTCCTGGGCTCGCCTTACCTCATTTCGGTATTGGGCTAGCGAGTTAAAGTACTCCCACGTAGTTCCGAGGTTCGCGCCATACGACGACTTCGCTCATGGTACCGAGCTAAGACATCATGGGTTCTTCATTATGGGCCTATCATATTGGGCTTACCCTAATGGGCTTATGTTTATTTGTTATTTGTCAAACTAGCCCATATCACGGGGGTTATCCATTTTCTAATTTTCTAGGGGGAAAGTGCAAAATAAAAAAATTATAGGGGTGACGTGCATTTTGTCCTTAAAATTAAGTACCTAATTAAGAATAATAATTACATTCCATTTTTTCTTAATTTCTTTTCCACATTACAGAAAAAAAAAATTAAAAAAAAATTAATTAGCCCACCTCATCAGCAGAGCTAGTAACAGCAGTGGCGTCACCATGCCCACCTAATGACGCAATCCCCAAACCCCTCCCCGCCACCGTCTCACCACCACCGGATTCCGCCCGCTCCGCCGCCAACGACCGGCGGCACGTGGGGCACGACGAATGTGAAGCCAGCCAAACATCAACACAGTTAACGTGAAAACAGTGATTGCATTTCGGCAGAACCCTAATTTTCTCACCGTCCAAAAAATCGCCAAGGCAAATAGGGCAATCCGTGTAGAAACCCCCTTCCCCGGAGGCATACACCGCCACCGGAATGCGGCGGAGCACCGCCTTCTTGAGTCCCCTCCTCCCAAACACCGACTGCGCCTCGCTCCCGGCGGCGGAGCCCATCCTGGTGGCGCACCGGAGCATACACCTGATGATTGAATTTATCCCTAGCGCGCAAATCAAAGCACACAGTAACGCTGCCAGTATGATTACCATGTTAGTGTCGAAATTCGTCGCCCCTCTGGTGTAGCCGCTGCGGCTTCCGCCGCCGTTAATCGGCGGTGCACCACCCGGTGTAGGATCCAGCAGCAAGCGGTGCCGCCGTTGGTAGAATCCCATCGGATTTGGCTTTAAATTAACAGTACTATTCAAATCTAAATAATTAGGAATTCAACTCAAATTCCGATTAAATAAATGAATTATGAGAAAGCAAATCGGACCACAAAAGAAACGGAAAACAGAGAAATCATCTCTGTAATATCAACACAAGCTTTAATTTTCCCTCCAAATCTCGAAATGCTCGTAAAATTCACAATCTTTGTAAGATAAAATGAAAAAGTACAGGAAAAAAATAAATTATTTTTTTATTTAATGTTTCCTGGGATAATCACAAACTTAAGTTTGGGAAACAGGATAGGAAAAAAGGGGGAAATTCATACACAGTGAATCACTGTACCTGAAATTAGGAATTTCTACCAAACTGCATATGCACACTTTTCCAACAAGTAACAAACCTTAAATCACTACCTCCAACTGTCTTTTTTTTTTTTTCTCTAAAATTATTTTTTATGATCAAGTGCGGGGAAAAACACTGTACAGAAAGGAAGATGTCGTTATTTGTGAAGAACAAACTTGACGAAACCTTACCAACACATCTAGTAGAGGGCTAACTAGTTAAGGGAGGAGGGGGAATGCTTGAGAATTTTGATTAGGGTACCTGATCCCACTTTAATCATAATTAGCTTAATAAATAATAATCATTAATTATTAAATAAATAAAAGAAGCACCAAATCATTCTCCCACTCTTGCACTCCTCCTCTGAATTGACGGGTGAAAGCAATTCTTTGAGCACTTGTGTTTGCATAAAGTCTCATGTACGGGTGCTAAACGAGCTCAGCCGACTCGTGAGCTCGAAAAAAGTTTGAGCTCGAACTTGAGTATTCGAGATCAAGCTTTTTTTTTTGTTGTTTGTGAGCTCATCAGCCGACTCACGACCATTTATAAATATATTAACAAAAAATAAAATAAAAAATGAGCATGGACTCGAGCTCGAGTCTGGTAAAACATGCGACCTCGGCTCGTTCACACCTCTAGTCGCATTCAACCGCAGTTAAGTTTATACTGGGTTTTACAATTATACCCATACGTGTGGCTTAGGGGAGAGATGGACACTCACAAGTCACATGACACGCACTAATTAATATTTTTTTCGACCTAATATGGATTGTCAATTGATTTAAATCTTATTTTTTTATTTTTTGATAAGTATCAATTGTTTCAATTCTATGTTTATAATAAACGACATATTACATTAATTATTTTGTAACTACAATTTGTGACATATTATACTTTATTTAAAAGGGGACATAAATAAATCCATACTACATACGAGACTCGTGACTACATGTGGCCAAGGGCACTGGGAAATCAACATGGCATTATATATGGGTCCATAAAATTGGATGACATATAATATAATTGCGTAAATATTTCAATTGATGTAACATTTGTTTCAATTATTTTTTTTATTTATTATTTTACGTGTATTGGTGCAAATTGATCTACATAAGTCATGATGTCTTGGCCTACTTTAATAAATTCCATGCTCTTATTAATTGGCAGTTGACGGTGCCAGGCTGAAGTTGAGTGAACCACCGAGGCAGGCGGTGGTTCATTGGTGGCAAACGCCGCCGGAATGTTGAGTGCTCCGACATTTGTTGCTTGAAATTACACTCTCTTTTGAATGTGAGATTCATGTGATTGGGGGTTGTCATTTTCTTTACATGAACTGTAATAAAGACTAATAATATTAATTTGTTGGTTTATGTGGAAAAAGTATTAAATAAACTCTATTTTTATGCAAAAAAAATAAAAAATTCTCGAAAATGAATATGTAATATTCTTATTTTATTTCGACAGTCCCAATAGGCCCACTAATTATTCTTTATATTGGGCTACCAAAGAGAACCTAAAACTTACCCTCCCATCCGCTAATAATTAAGCTAATTGACCAATCTCATTAGTTTAAGGATACGAGCCCGTTAGGATCCATAATCATATTTAGAATTACACCATAATAAAGATTCTACTAATTAAACTGTAAACAACACATCTAAACTCGTATTTTCAAGGTAAGTGTTCTTTTACGATTTTAGTTCTCAAGAATTCTTGATCTGTCTACTTGTCTAAGTCGCTGATTTTAGCGTCGGATGATTTTTGTCGGATCAAACTCCGGCCCACCTCATAGTAATACATTTTACACCCATAAGTTAAGCAAGATATTCATGAAATTGCATGAGAAAAATGCAATAAAATTAAACATAATTTCCAAACAAAAAACATAAATGACCATGAACCAAAAAAAAAAAAACCTATGGTTGCATCCGGGTTAGGGGGGCAGGATCCCCTGCAACAACCCCACAACATGAAATGATTGCACCCATAAAAAGTCCACCCTTGAAACTCCAAAGTCTTCGTCAGTTACAAACTTTCATACCCCATTTTTTCACCTAGTAAAAAACACACACACTAGCTTTTTTTTTCTGGTCAACTCCGAACCAGAAAACAGTTACTCTCAGGCAAAAAATAAGTGCCGACTTTTTTTTTTATAACTACAAGTATTTCATCAGTGGCGCAGTGGGGTTACAAAATGCAAGATCCAAAGGATTCTTCGATGAATCAAATGCCGCCGTTTTCTGCCGCAGCAATGCGGCCTTCCAACCACCGGAGGGCCCACTCCGAGATGAATTTCCGGCTGCCGGAGGATTTGGATCTGGCGTCAGATCCATTCGACGCCGCCGCCGCCGCCGGGGGTTTCGATGAGATGGGATCCGAGGACGACTTCTTCTCCACTTACATGGACATGGAGAAGCTCAGCGCCGGCGCCGGCGCCCCCGGCGGATCTGGAATCGGCGACTCTGTTTTCGACAATAGCGGCGGAGCCGCGGAGGAGGATGGGGAGAGGAGCGGCGGCGGCGGCGGCGGTGGTTCTAGGCCGAGGCATAGGCATAGCAATTCGGTGGATAGTTCGAATTTGTTTTCGACTGATAGCAGTATTGAAGCTAAGAAAGCTATGGCGCCCGAAAAACTCGCTGAGCTATGGAGTCTCGATCCTAAACGCGCCAAAAGGTATTATCTTTTATATTAATAATTTTTATTTTATTTGCTCTTCGAATTTTGTTCTTATTAATTAGCATATACATAATATATATATATATATATATATATATATATATATATATATATATATATATATATATATATATATAATGTGCATGTATTGTGTCATTTGAATTTGAATTGTTTTGAACAATGGATTTTAGATTGGATCTTAAAATAGATCTTTGAGCTGAACATCATCATCATCATATATATGTGTATGGCATCATCAACTATTTATTTTGTTATAATCAATTATGATAATTTGATAAAAGGATTTTGGCGAATCGACAATCGGCCGCTCGATCGAAAGAGAGAAAAGCTCGGTACATGTCGGAACTCGAGAGAAAAGTTCAAACCCTTCAAACTGAAGCAACAACTCTCTCTGCACAATTGACATTATTCCAGGTATGTATGTACCTTCTAATTATTGTTATTATTATTTTCAGTTTCAGATTATCCGGTTAATTAATTATTTCGATTAGGAAAAACGTAGCCCAAGAAAACACGGTTATATATAGTGTCTCGACGTATTAATTTTGTCATCCGAAATTCGATTATTTTAATTATGAGGGTCATCTCTAGTTTCATCATGAATAGTCTAATTTTGTCAACTTATACGCATTGTCGAAAATTTATATTCCAATTAGAATGTTCGTTCGTCGACATTTATTCGAAGCTCAGATATTGTACTTTTTTCAGAGAGATACAACAGGGCTGAGTAGCGAGAATACGGAGCTTAAGATTCGTTTGCAAGCCATGGAACAGCAAGCTCAGTTACGCGACGGTACGTAGAATCAGATTGATTAAAATTACCTTTTTACCCTTTATTTTTCGTTCGAGTAATTAAAATTTGTTTCACTTGCAGCGCTTAACGAAGCACTGAAGCAGGAAGTAGAAAGACTCAGAATGGCAACCGGAGAAGTATCTGCAGCTAATTCCGACACGTTCAATTTAGCAATGCAGCATATTTCTTACAACCAGTCCGGTTTCTTCTCCTCCAATCAGCATCAAGCTCGCCCGAACAACAACAACTCCTCCCACGCAGTGCAGATGCCGCAGTTTCACGCATTTCAAGCTGGCTTTTCGAATCACCAGCATAATAATATGCAGGAACTTTCTGGATCAATGCACCACGATCCTCTAAGACATTTTCAAGGCCTCGATATTAGCAGCAGAGAATCTAATCTCGTTAAATCCGAAAACCCTTCCGTTTCCGCCACTGAAAGCAGTAGTACATTCTGAATTCTCGTTTTTTTTTTCTCGTCTGGAAAAACCTATTTGTTTATTGAGCTAATTGCAAATACCTCCCCTGTGTAATCTCTAATTGTCAAATACCCCCCTGTCAAAAAAAAACTCACCAACGCCCCCCTGTGTAACCAAAGTCAATGCATCTAGACCCCTTAAGGCAAATCGTGTCTCTCACGCGCGGGCTCTGCGAATTTTTATGTTATTTCTAGGGTGAAATGTCATAAATACCCCTGTACAAATAAATAAAAAATCCGAGTGGTCAAATTATAAATAACTATAATTTATAGGACCAAATTGTAAATTTTAAAATTTCCAAAATTGCAATAAGGGACAAAAATTGAAGATTTTTTCAGATCTTCTTCTTCGTTTCACTCCGCCGCCCACCTCCCAGCCCGGAAAAACTTCGGCATCACCGCCGCCTTCTCGCCCGTCTAGCACCACCGCCGCCTTCTGGACCGTCGAGCACCACCTTCGCTCTCTGGCCTGTCTCGCACCACCGCCGCCTTCTGGACCGTGGGGCACCGCCGTCACCGTCTTTGTTCAAATTGCAGATCCACTGCCATAGGAATAGTGAAATTGGAGGAGAATTTCACTACGCGAATGTCGGGGTGAAAGAAAGATGAGCCGGTGGTGGGGCAGGTGCGTGGGGAGAAGAAGTGTTGATTTGGGTGGTCGGTGGGGTGGGGGTGGGGTGGGGCGGAGCAGGGAAGAAGAAGAGCTATTTTTGCTCTTTTTTTTTTTCTTTTTTTTTTTAATTTAAATTAAAATTTAATATAAAAAAATATAAAACATATAAAATCTTTTAATACAACAATACATGTTTAATTTCTGTTAATATTTTATAATTTCAAAATTATTAATAAATAATGTTTATAAAATTAAAAATAACTACACAAAAATTAAAAATAATTGTCTAATAAATTTTGGTTTAATTAAATTAATACAGAGTTAGAAAATTTTAACAAATAAATATGTACAATATATATTTTACTAATTGCTGAAAAACCCGTAGGGTATTTGTGTCATTTCACTTTTAGTCAATGCCTAAAAACACAGAGGGGGCTGTGAGTTTTGAAATTGATTACACGAGGGGGTGTTGGTGAGTTTTTTTTTAACAGGGGGGTATTTGCCAATTAGAGATTACACAGGGGAGGTATTTGCAATTAGCTCATTGTTTATTTGTTCATAAACTGACACGACGATGTTTAGCATGATCAAGAATCATCACTAATCAACATTTTTTTCATTTTTTTGCTTTTTAAATTTAACAGTGTGATTAGTTTTCGGTTTGTAAGTTGTTGTAATAAGAGTTCTTTTTCTTTGGTCTGTTTACAGAATTTGATGTCGAAATTTATTTTTGTTTTACGAAAACTATGACGTTAACATATTAGAACAAACCGCAAGGGGACCATCAGAAAGGCCCAAATAACTACCTCACATTCGTATCTTTCTTCGATATCAAATCGATGTGCAAGTAGTGACCATATATTTTTATTTGCAAAATACTGCGTATTTTCATTACATCAATTAAATCCATTCGTAAGATTCACGATCCAATCCAATTTAATTAGATTTTTCATTCTCATTCTCTTTATGGAGAACGAGTTGCTAGCTACGACCAGATTGCGTGGATCGAAAGAATTTTTTTTAATCTTTAACAGTCGATCTCTACTGTTAAAAAAAACCAGGACCGTTTGCTTTTCAAGATGCTGAGTGAGTTCAGACTCGAACTATTACTTAATCGTCTCTTCTAAGTTCTAACCTATGCAACTCAAATGTTGCCAATTCATCGTATAAAATGATCTAATAATGTATATATATGAAACAAACACATTCTCCTTTTGAACTATATATATATATATATATATATATATATATATATATATATATATATATATATATATATATATATATATATATTTTTATGATGAAATTAAATCTACACACCGATTTGTTGACTTTTTGTATATATTTTATAAGACAAAAGAAATAGGCTAGTGTTGCAATATTGGACCCCCAAAATTAACTTCCCTTGTTAGGTCACTAGGGGCCAATTGTGGCCCATCACCCCCACATTATTGCACATGGAAATAGCAAATTTAGGAGAGGCAACAATTTAAAAATTAAAAAAATAAAAATAAATATTTAAATTAAATAGTGAGTGAGTAGTCTCATGTGGGACAATTTATGTGGCTAGTAAAAGTGGGCAAAATGTTTGGTTTTTTGGACCGGATTTAATTGAATAAAAGGGTCCATGTAATAAAATGCAATGAAACTAGTCTTTGTCTTGATAACAAGTGGGGCATATTGGAGGAAAAACCCTACCCGAAAACCACTACACTTTGGTCCTAAAACAACAACATTTGGATAAAATCCACATGCCTTTTGTGGATGTTATTTTAGTTGCTCGTGTTATGTCTATTCAACTATGTTTCATGATGAATCATTACTTCATTTTTCTATTGTATGTCTACCATAGTGATATATACAATATATACATATGTTGTATGCATACATTTAACATGTACAAATTAGTTATAATAGTCTTCAAATTTTTTAGAGATGCAGAACTAAAGTCATGCATTAGTATAACTTAACTGGTTCTGGAGTGGTATATTAGTGCGATAGTCGCAGCATGGGAATTTCGACTCCACTGAGAGTAGATTCATTATGAATCCGCCCCTGCATATGAATTATCTTGTGAGCTCAAACTAGTCGTATATTGTATTATTATTCGAAAAATCATGATAGAGTAGAGAGAGAGAGAGTGAAAAAAAGGCGGAAACATGTTCGGCAATTTGTTGCAAAATGTCCGGATAATTTTTTTGCAATTAATATATATATATATATATATATATATATATATAACATTCCTCCTTTTCTAGTTAAAATTAATAGATCTTAAATGCAACTATTTTTTGTATCATTGCTAAACTGGCATTTATATTGCCACTGAAAATATATTTACAGATATTATTACAGGAATAAAATCCCAACAACAGTAATGATTAATTAATTAAAAGTAAATAAATAAATACCTAATTATCATCAACTCGTATTATTATTGCATCTCATTTTTCCATTATATATCAATTATTTTTTGCATTTTATATTTAATATTATACTAGAAACAGTACTATGTTGTGTATATATACTATGTTAACAAATCAATATATTATTATTTATTCCTATATACTAGAAATATTTATTATTTAATATTATATGTGTAACAAATTATGATAATGATATAAGGATGCAAATGGGCCATCTTTTGGGGCAAATTGCATGTGCACTAACATGGTAGGCCCCTTAATCAAAATATTCACTCTGCTTTCAGCCCTCTTATTATTATATTAACTAATCTTGATTAGTGATTAGATTAGCGAATAAATCATTTAATTAACTGGACTAATGACGATGGAATTGTACCTTTGTGAGTTTGTTCTTTCGTTTTGATTTTGAAGTGATAATTTTGTTTATGATTTAACGATGTTTAGGCTCACCACGTGTTAGCAGGGAAACGTCAAGACGGTTTTTTATTGCTGATTAAATTGTAAAATAGTAAAATAAAAATAAACTTTTAGAGATAAATTAGTAGTTGAAACCGATACGATTAGTGAAGTAAATTTGGACTATATGTGCGGAATTATCGCTTAATTAAGCCGACCTGCAAATTCGCAAAAGATGATAGCATTACATATTTTAAGGTATATTACAATCACCTCCGATGTAAGGTTAAATTACGAAAAAACCCTTATCTTTGGATAATTATAATCACCCCTTCAATCATGAAGTATGTCAAATTCAACAAAATTTTCTAGATTCCGTAGAATGTTCTCTAGTTTGTACTCATTTTATGAAAACACGCAGTTTCTGATGCACCACAATGTAATATTTATAAGACAAGAAACACATCTTACGATCATCTTGTTTCAAAACATGGAGTTCGAATGAGGTAAAACAGGTACAAACTAAAGAAGATTCCATATAATTTAGAAAGTTCCACTACATTTAATATTGCAAGAGTGAACATATAGAAATATTCTCAAATAAAGGAGTGGTTGTAATTACTCTAACATGAGCGAGTATTTTCGTAATTTAAAATTATATCGGACGGCTGTAATTTACTCTATATTTTATAATATTATTGTAAATTATTATGATTTTATATAATTGTTCATATGAGGATAACCGACAAATGCTTTTACATCCCTATCATCGAATTATCTTTTTGTGTTTTAGCTAAGATAACAAAAAATGTTGATTTTTTTTCAATACATACTTATAATTCTTATCTTATAATTCGTGGGCTATTGTACGAGAGAATAGTCTACAAATTTAATGATTGTTTTATTAATTTTTTTTTTTTTTAGGAAATTTTGAGGATTTTTTTTTAATAAATTGGTTTAGTATAGTACTTATTCATTGAAGTGTTCACATTTAGGAAATTAACTCAATTTTTTCTTATAGTTGTTGTGCGTGGCCACTACTTTGGTCTAAAAATAATTATAGAACAATAATATAATTATAAACAATAATGAGGCAATTATAGCTGAATAAAAAATGAGATACACATTTGATGAATATATAAACTAATGAGATTATTCGATCTCAAGTCTCAACCTTAAAAATCTCTTACAAAGAGTTCATAAGCAATATCTCAAATCATATTAATTCAGCCAACAAGTTGACACGTGCTAATTATGGCTATTAGATCTCAATTTTCAGACACTCATCGTTTTCCACAATTAAATTTACTAACACCCCAAGGTGTCCTAAATTGACCTTTGACTCAATTAGTGAATTAACTAATTACTATTACTTTGAGTATAATTAATCTTCAGTTTCATCCGTGTTTATAATATCTGTTACTTTAAAGAAATTTTCTTGTTTCACATTATCAGTCAGTTTATTATTACAATTCTGCCCGCATTAACTCTTCAACACCATCCATGCATTAGTTAGTAAATAAGGGTATTTTAGTCCAATAATATTTATTTTCTTAAAATTAAGACACATTTATTAAGAGACTAGTACAAAAGTAAAAAACGACAATTAACTAAAAACGGAGTGAGTACTACGTATTGAGTTAGATGCAAATTTCACATGCTAAGTTCCAAAAAATTATTTCTTACTTCAACTTTTCTAAGTGGATCATAAAAAAAAACTTACAAATAGATAAAGACAATTGTTTTTCGTATTTTAATTAATTATCTTCACATATAATTTTTACACTCGAGGACAATCACTACAAAACAATTAAGCATGCAATATAAGATTCCAACTAAAAATAATCAAGTTTTTGGAAGTTTAGAACATCAAGAAAATTAGAAAGGTTATATAATTGTTTGACTCGACTCCTAATTAAATCATCTAATTAAACACCACCCAATGCAAAATAACTTATTTTTATGAGCACTTGACTTTTGCATCTCAATTTGTTAATTAATTAATGTTTCAAAGCAATTAAATTAAAAAAGTTTCAAATCTCAAAGAGTCAAATGATGCCAAATATTCCACTTAACAACCTGCCGCAACTTCAGCAAATAACACAAAAATAATAAAAAAAATAAAAAATTACAACTTTCATAATGTAAGATAAAACCCATCAAATGCATAGATGATAAATTGATTCCCAAGAAAAATAAAATAATAATATTCAATAATAATTAATAAATGAAAGAAAGAAAATAAGAGAGAAGTGCATGTGCATGTAGGGTCTATAAGATTAGCAGTTGGTAGTTCAAGTTGGGACAAATGCATGTGCATCCTTCTCTCTCTTATCTAACCTAATTAAATAATAAATAAATATTACATATACATATATTTATTTGATTTTGTGGCTCTCATACCTTATTGTTGCTTACTTGTCATTTTCTACTATACTATAGTCTATAATATTAAATATTTATTAATACTTACATCTTTCTCTCTCTAGCTCACATTTTTGCTCTATATAAATAAACCCCTCTCACTCCACAATTTTGTACAACCAAATTTAAAGTTCCTCAATCTCTCCAAATACATTATATACAACATTGTATATAATCTTCTCTCATCAATAATTAATTAATTTGTGATGGATGTAATAATTTCTCTACTATTCTTCTCATTTATGGGATTTTGCTTGACGGCAACTTACGGCGATTACGGTGGTTGGGACACCGCCCATGCTACTTTCTACGGCGGCGGAGATGCTTCCGGCACAATGGGTACGTCACTCAGTCCTTCGTTAATTACTTACATAATTGAAAAAAATCAATGCAATTTAGTTTACTAATAAAATTTATTGATTTAATAATGCAGGAGGTGCTTGTGGGTATGGAAACTTGTATAGCCAAGGCTACGGCACCAACACCGCCGCACTCAGCACCGCTCTCTTCAACAACGGCTTGACATGTGGCGCATGTTACGAACTATCGTGCGCCTCCGACCCGAAATGGTGCCTAGGTGGCACAATCACCGTCACCGCCACCAATTTCTGCCCACCTAACCCTTCTCTGCCTAATGACAACGGCGGCTGGTGCAACCCTCCCCGCCAGCATTTCGATTTGGCGGAGCCCGCTTTCTTGCAAATCGCCCAATACAGAGCCGGAATCGTTCCCGTTTCCTTCCGAAGGTAATATTTAGATAAATTTCTTCTTGGGGCCGTGGCCCCCATCTTAAAAAAAAAATTATATATAGAGATTTGTTATTTTTCGACCAGTTGCTGACAATTGGTATGTACTAATAGGGTGCCTTGCAAAAAGAAGGGAGGGATCAGATTTACGATCAACGGACACTCGTACTTCAATTTAGTGCTCGTCACGAATGTCGGTGGTGCAGGGGACGTCCACTCAGTTTCGATTAAAGGTTCCAACACCGGATGGCAAGCGATGTCGAGAAACTGGGGGCAAAACTGGCAGAGCAATTCGTACATCAACGGCCAGAGCCTGTCGTTTCAGGTCACCACGAGCGACGGCAGAACGCTTACTAGCAACAACGCCGCGCCCGCGGGCTGGCAGTTCGGGCAAACATTCACGGGGAGCCAGTTCTAATTAAATATATCGAAACTTTAAAAAAAAATCGTTGGAAATTATTATGTAAAACGATTTGATTTTTTACTTTTCGAGAAAATCGAGTAATGGCATAAAAAAGGGGTGAGAGAGAAAGAGAGAGAGAGAGGCTATGGGGTCTGGAAGTTGTGGCTCTGTTGCTGTGGTTGCTGCTGGTT